TTTATTTTATTTCCCATATCGTCCCATGATACCCACTATACAAGCACCATTAATTTCGTAGACGTAGAGGACTGACTCTTTGCAATGTATTCAGTAGATTTCCGAGGTAATGAGAGGCGTAAGGATAAATTCTCAAAAGAGTCTTTTCGAAGAAAATTTCGTAAGGGTCAAAGAAAGTCTATCGACCCTTTGTCGTGAAATGACAAGTTTTCAAGATAACTCTCGAAGCATAACTCACGATGGAACATTTCATGCTTTACTTAAATCCGGTTACGACTTTTCTACTGAATGATATTTTCTACATGAAATTGAAAATTTATGCTGGATGAATGTCAATGTTGAGTCCATCAAGTGCAGATGTAGTAGAAAGCATTATTCTAACGTAATAATTGGGTTATCTGAGTGATCAGGGGGATGAGGGGAAAATGTTGAGAAGTTTTCGATGTCATGTTTTATCAAAGACGAAATTTCAAACTATGTCTTTTAATATTTTCGCCTAAAGTTAATTATCCCACTGGTAAATGCGTAATTGATCAAAATTTTAGTTCATCAATTATTTCATTCTCATTATTGGATCATTGCAGGTATGGAAAAATCTCAAGACAAAAGTTAAGACAAAGTACCAGGAATTATGTATCGCAGATCGATCTACAGGAAATCCCACCGCTGCTCCTGAGCTTACAGATCAAGAACAGAAAATTTTGTCTATAATTGGTAGCCAGTCAACTGTAGGAGTTGCAGGGGTTCCAGCATCAGGATTCGGGCCATCAGGATCAGAAAACGATCCAAATGCCGTAAATCAGCAGTCAACAGTAGAACCCGGATCGTCCAAGGCTCCACCATTATTATACGTTCCAAAAAATAAACATTATTGCATTCTGAATCACGTTTCTGTGATATTTGCTCATTCTAACTGTCAACTCATTGTACTTTTGTTTAAGAACAGAACGAAAATCATCATCAGAAGTTAATAAGCCTTCAGCTAAAAACAATACTACCGCGGAAGCTGTTGTCCAATCGTCAGCGGACAGTGTTGTACTTCTCCAAGTATGAATTATTTTACCATATTTTCTCCCATAAACTTTATTTTATTCGGATAATTTTTTTGATTGACAGAGGATTTCTACAACGTTGGAAACATGGTTACCTCGTGGCGTGAGGGCTTTGGAAAAGATTGCTGATGGGATGAATATTGATCACAGTGAAGACGAGGCGCCAGTAAACCAAAATACAGACGCAGATGAAGATGTTGGAAATGAAAGGTGAGAACAATTTTGAAATGATAACTTCATTGTCCAAAAATTTAAAAAAACTCCTCGACGATTCGATTCCTAAGTGCACGACCTTCATCGAGGGCACATTGACCCTCTTCTTCATCATCCATGACTCTGGCCATGTCGTTCACTTCTGGGGGAAAGTTCTCATCCAAGTATACTGGATCTCTGAACAAGAAACGAAACCTAAATATAGAAAACATTAAAAAAATATATATTTTATTTATAATCACCTTCGACCAATCAGTATATTGTGTAGAATAACACAATACTTTAGTAAGCGAGAAGCTTTGTAGGGCTGATAGTTCAGTGTTCTATCACGTTTCAAACACCGCCACTTCCCTTTCAAGTTTCCAAATGTGCATTCAATTATACATCTCGTATGCATATGTCGCGTATTAAAGCGTGCTTCTGGACTTCCAGCACCTGGTGCCATATACGGAATCACTACACAGGGTCCCAAAGGGTATCCCTTATCTCCTGAGGAAATAATTCATTTGAATACATATGTAATTGAATATATTTTTCAGAGACCCTGATGTACAGGAGGATGAGGCTGAATTTGTGGACAAAGAAGAACTGCATGAAGCATAGAAAAACAGATTTCAGCGAAGCTGACATATTATAATAAATATTTATGATGCATTCCGTCTAGGATTGAGCGTGTACATGACAAAAAAAACTTTAATGAATAAGAAAACATGAATTATTTTCACCGAGTAGATAATAGGGTCCAAGACCTTCCCCATTGACACGACAAATTTCAGCTTTGACTTGTGAGCCGTTCCACACGCGTGAATCGTGAGTCGTCCCTGCAAACACTTCTAAAGGTGTGATACACCTCTTGTCGTCACACGTTGCTTGAACATTAAGACTGTGAAACCTTTTATGATTCAAGAACGACCAGGCCTCCCTGGAGGGAGTGGTAATGGGAATATGTGTACCATCAACACAACCTATTACTCCCGGAAAGTGACACATCCCTCGAAATCTAAACTAAATAACAGTGCTGATTAAATATTTTCAAGATATTTTCAAGATTTTACAAGAAAATGTGTGGAGACCTGTTTGTAGCTGACAAAATTTCCAACAAGAAATCTCTTGACATTTTCTTTTAAAAACACTCATTATCGAGATAATTCAATATATTCAACGAGATGTGAAAAATCGTATTATTAAGTGTTACTGCCCTGGCGATTGAGCTTCCATGGTACATCCATGTTGTAGCATGGATATAGCATGGATGTAGCATGGATGTCATTTTAAGGCGAAAAATGGGCCAAAAATGATTGGAATATAATCAAAAAATTATTTAAATGCTGATAGACAAACAATTGGTCCCAATTAATACCCATTAATAGGTTATTTTGTATAATTAGGAGAAATTATTGATGGTGTGCTGTGTGGTAAAGAAGTTCAGATGGGAGAATGCCGCGAGATGGCGCCAGTGTTAAATTATCGAGTCGGCGG